TAAAATATGTTTGTTAAATATTTCTTATTTCATGTGATATAAATATAAATAAAAAATAAAAATAAAATAAAAAATTTATAAAATCAAAAATTTTATTGTAAATTAAATTTCATGCATTTCACATTCTCTCTCTATCTAAAATATATTTGTTATTACCTATGTTATAAAATCCTACACATTTATCAATTCCAATGACTTCAATAAATTGATAATTACTAAAATATGTAAAATATATTTATCTTTAATTATCTGTATTATAATTAAGTTTATGCATACATGCAAATAAACAATCTTATTCAATATATTTATGTACAATATAATATTCTATTTCACCATATATTTCTTCAATTTTAAGTATTCAAGAAGCATTACAACGATGAGTATTTTTATCAGTAGTAATATTAATTTAAAATAAAAATAAATGTTATTAATTAAAATTATAATGATAATTATAAATATGTAGTTATAATACTTACTAATACAAAATAATTATTTCTACTCTTTATTTTATCTTTTGATATCATTTTAAAAGTTATAGTATGTCTATTATTAGTGCGTAATTTACCAAATTTCATTTTAATTTTTAATTTTTAAATTTAGAATTTATCATCAATTGTAAATTATTTTTAATTATAAATTTTAATAAAATTAGTTTTTTTATAACAAACCTCAATTGTTATGCTATTTATATCAAAAATAGCAGCATAGGTTTCTTTTAACATTTTTAATTTCACATTCATCAAATTATATTTTTTAGATAGAGAGTAAAGTTCATATTCCTCATATATAAAAGAATTGAAAACTCAATGAGAAGAATATTTCTTTTCTTCCTCTTCTTCTTGGAATATTTCCTTATAATCTTCATTAAATTTTAAATGATTAAACCTTTCATTTAAAATTATATTATTCCAAAGGCTGGTATATAGATGAATTTTGTAATTTTATTAATAGAATTAACATCCTACACATTCTTTCCATTGAAAATTGCCAATACCTTCTACATGGACCAAAATCTTCAATACTTTCAGCTACATGTAATAAATAGTGAAAAGATATTAAAAAGATATTTGATTGATTTTCTTCATCTATGCTTGCATAATCTATAAAAATAATAATAAAGATATCAGTGATGGGTTATCTATCATTAGCAGGCAAGTCTGAACAGCTCAGATTATTAGGTTTTCTCAAATTAGTTTTTTTTAAACATTTTTAAGATAATGGAAAAGAGTTTTTATTTATTTTTTACTATATGAAAGGTAGTCAGTAGAAAAAGAGGAAATCCAACTTGGCTGATCTCAGATATATGCTTTCCCCCTTCACTTCCTATAAACAGAATTTTTTTTTCAATATGTGAAATCCTATTTGTCACCTTATTTGTCACATAGGTCATACTACTCAGGCGTGAAAAAATAGTATGGGAGTAGTTAAAACATTTTTTTACGAGACGGGTAGAGAATTGTAATGCCTTATGGTCATGGAATGCAGTAGAGACGTACAGTATAAATCAGGATACGAAAGGTTCAAACTTGGCAGCGAAAGAGAGAGTAAAAATGATATTTTCAAAAGTTCAAACCAAGAAAAAATTGAAGAATATTGGGGCTATCGTTCAGAGCCGGTACCCTGGAAGGCTCTTCATGGAAATAAAACTATCTTACAATAATCCATCCTTGGTAGTCGAAATGATCGCGAATGTTGTCGTATTGTTGATACAGAGATACAAAGCGGTGATCTTCGAAAAGATGGTATCCGTTTTTACATAATGTAAATTATTCTATGCGGTTTCAATTATATAATTGTTATTGCGAAATGTCATAGTGGCTTACTTTTTCTGGACTGCTATGAACGTGTGTATTCAGCTGGTATATTATTATTTATCGGTAAATTTTTTCATTGCAGTATTAGAAAATCCTTGTGAAGTGCTATGGGGTGTATCAGTCAATCTGGTATTTACACATAATTTGCTTGTTTTTTTTTTTTATCTTAATATAGCTAATTTATTTTCTTCTATATTCGGAAGAATGCAATTCTCACCTTGTAAAGGACGCGGAAAGGTAAGAAAAAGAACAAAAAAAAGCGTCATTGATTTGGGCATATTCAGGATTTTTAAATTTCGATTTATGGAATAGGTTTAACATGGATGTGTAATTGAATCGAAAAATAAAAATATGCTATTAAACATTAATAATTAAATTATTTAAAATAGATTAAACTATTATTAACTTTCTTAATTGATATTACTTTATTCGTTTATATTGAAATCTTTGATCTTTTTTTACGATCAGAACATCATTTTTTAATTGGTTAATAATTATACTTACACGAAAAAAAAAGAGTCCCAAAATTAGAAATAAAATAATGATGTCGTTTAACAAATTTTGTATCTAAATATATTGATATTATCATGCTTTGTTTGTTTTACAACAATTACAAATAGAAAAAAACCGTTTTTTTTGTATGACATTTCTGAAGATTTAAAATTGGCGCAGTCTCGCAAGAAAATTTCTTGGATGTGGTGTTGAAATAGGTAAGGGCTAATCGAAAATAATATATATATATATTGCTAATTACCTCTTTCTAATGTACTTTGAAAAATATGTTTTAGGTTATACATCTCGGAAGAATTCTCTTACAGAATTTTGTTTATAATATGTTTTTGTATGGAAAGAGATACAAGCACACCCACACCGAATTGTCTATGAAACAAATTTTATAGAATTTTTTTTTTAAGCTAATACAAAACAAAAGAACAAAAGAATTTTTTATCGTGCATACGCTTATCAGTAATTCAAAAATATTTTTTTCTAAAAACAATATGCATTTATTTGTTCTTTTTTTTTTTTGATTTTTTTTATGTTGCATAATGACATTGATTGATATGATTGATATGCAGAAAACAGCAAATATTCAACTAATGGCGCTATATGTAACTTGTAACAATAAATAACAAAACAAACATGTTATCTCATGCAAATTTGGGATGTTTTTTTGAATCTCAAAGAAATACTATTTAAACAACATTAAATCTTTAATCTTTATCCGCTTCAAATGGCTTCTCATCACCCATTAATGTTCCCCGTTATAATAATATTTCTTCTTACTATTACATTTTTTTATCTAGAATATAACAGTCTAGAAACTAATAATAATGATTTAATTTCACAAAGTGAACCCATCATATCTTCCTCTTCAGGAGAAAATAACGCTTCACAATTAAATTCAACAACTTTGAAAAAGGTTCCAAAACAAACACCAAAAAAATCAACACCGAGACCTAAACAATATGGACCAATCCCATTTCGAGAGAAGATGGAATGTGATAGTTATCATGAAAAAAAAGGAATTTCTTTTAAACAACTATGGAATTGGCCACCAACTCGTGTCTTTATCGGCATATGGACAGTCGCGGATAGGTTTGAAATTCGAAATTTCATAAGAACGTTAAATTTAAAACAGCAACAAAGTTTAATTGGAGATAAAGTGGATTTCAAGTTTATTCTTGGAATACCACCTCAAGATGAATATACACCCGAATTAAAATCACAATTAACTATCGAAAATAGCACTTATGGTGACCTTATAATGCTGAATATTGAAGAGAACATGAACAATGGCAAGGCGTATTATTATTGGAAATGGGTCGCTGGGTACTCTGACACACAGTACAATTACGTTGTAAAGGCAGACGACGATGCATTCATACACTTTCAAAATTTGGCTCTCAACCTTCGTCCGTTGCCACGAAATAATTTGTATTACGGATTAGAAAGTCCCGATCGTTTCATCTTTGGAGAACTTGAGGTTTTATCCTTAAATAATGCCCGCATGATCGCCTCTTCTCCTTTCAACCAAACTGAATGGAATGGGAACGAGGATCGATTTTTGGGATACTGGTTGATGAACCATGCGAATTCAACTCTTATTCGAATTCCAGAAAATTGTTTAATTTTTAACGACCCAAGAGTTAGAAGAAAATTTTGTTGGAGACCATGGGCATCACCAGACTCTATCGTCATTCATCGACTAAAAGAAATTTCTGCATGGAAAAGTGTCATTGATCTATACATTCCTGTTATCATAATCGATATCACATGATTATGGAAATATTGATATTATTATCTGAATATTATATTTTGATTGATAAGTAACTTATATTAATTTTTTTTTAAAATATTCTTTAGAAAAAAGATGATGTATATTATCTTAAGTTTAAGTTTTTAATATTTTTAAAAATATCTATTGAATATAACATTATTTTTAAATTACTTTAGAATATTCTGTATATATAATATATATATATTAAAATAGTTGATAACAAAAAATAAAGATAATAAATAATTAATAAATAAAAACATAAATTATTTATCACTAGGGGCCGTTGAGCTAGGGTCTTAACCAATAAAAAATGATAAATTGTTTATCACGTGATTATTTTAAATTTTTAATTTGATTAAAAAATAAATCAAACTTGATCCACTTGCTGATCTTATTATAAAACAATTGTTTATTTATACAGTGATTGATAAGCTTATTTGAGTTTAGTATAAAATGTAAATAAATAACATGCTATCTTTACTAATTTAGAATTTGTACTGATCGACTCAATTATTAAGAGTCGAATAGCACATAGAATTATATAGTCCTTTGCTATGCTCCGGACTAATTATCTGTAGAAATTATTCTGAGAGCAAAAAAATAACTTGATGCTGAGACTCGCATTAAATGGCCTAGAATCCGCATACTCCCTCCCTCTCTGATAACATCATACATTTCATTTGCTTCTCTAGTATTTTCTGATACGTTATGTATCTGAAAAATAATTAATAAAATTTGCATCAAATTTTTTATTAAAATCGATAATTGATTTTATGATAAATGTTACATCTACATGAGATGTAATCTCGTGCACACTGGTATCTACCATTTAAGGCAGATGAGCTTTAATCTAAAAAGATAAAATTTTAACATTTTTGGAATTTAATTTGTATGGTCAATTATAAGTCATGCTATCTGAAATTAAGGAAGCCGGCCCTGGATTTGAATATTTCTTAAAAACTTTCTGTAAAGATTGGAATGCAGTTCAGTATCATAAAGCATGGAAAGATGGCAATTTGGGTTTGGACAAGGCAATTGTGACGAGAAGTTTCAAGAAGCAAATATAGAAGATTAAAGAAAAAGGTATAGAAGAAGAAAAGAAAAATGAAATACATCTCAAAGATCAATTCAAGGGCAATATATTTTCATAATATTAAAACTGCAAATTAGCAAGTCACATTCAGTAGCTTTCACTTTTGTCTTTTGTACTTCACTTCTCTGATATTACAGCTACCCATAGAACTACATCTTCACATGGTTATGGACTACGTCTCCGCTGTTAGCTATAGCTACCCATAGAATTACATCTTCATATGCGTCTCCAATATAGCCAGCTTATGACTTGATAATTTGCAGTTTTTTTGGATAATTTTTATTACTATTATTAATATGTAAATTTTATTCTTTAAGGTTGAATCTAAAAAATGGAACTAATCGATAATTTTTGGATAAGGCATGGCAATTTTCATGAAATACAAAAATATAAAGGTTAACAGCACATTTTTATCTTATAATGAAGTACAGATCGATTGTGTTGGTAATAATATTCAAGGACAAAAATGACTTTATGAGAACCAATAACAACCAGGTTTTGAAGATGCAATTTCAACAGATAAATATTTTCCAGTCATACAATGTGAACAAGGCCAGCGCTGCATCATCAGATCAACACTACCAGTTGAACAGATGAAAATTAATATATATGAAGATATTCAACTAATTATTAATGATATTAAAAAACAAATCAATTGCAAAAGATGTTTGTGCTTATATTTTGCAAGTAATTTATTTATTCAAATGACCAAATTCTTTAATTATATCAATAGCGATTCACTATTCTATTTTACTAATTATCAGCTACCATTACCAAACTTCTCTCTAGTAATTATTACACTAATTACAAATGATGGATCTGATAATGTGTTAACTATAACCAGCTTTCATCAAGAATTATTAACTCAAATAGCATTACAACTAAACCTTCCAATCTTATTAATCAGATCAGATGATGCTATTGTTGAATTCAAGTTCAAGTTGCAATTCAATCATATTCAACAAATGAGCGGTTAACTTTTCAAAATAAAAAGCTTGAAGTTGATTTTAGCTGTTCAGTTTTTTCAAATGTAGGACCTGTTATTCATGTACAAAACCCCAAATATGCTAAAAAAACTAGCTGGAATGCAATTATGTCTGATGCACATCTTCTTATTTTGGGAAATTTAACAACATAATTTGAACAATTATTAAAATTGTCAAACCTTTTCAATTTTGTAATGTATTGTTATGATGTAATAAAGCTTGATTATTAAGATGATGATGCAGCATATCGTAAATTTTGTTTAAAAAAATCTACAAATTACTGTAATATTAAAGACACACAAGGACTTTTTGTATACCTTTTTATTATAGGTTAGATAAAAAAAAATATTTTTTTTAAGAAACGCAATAATTTATTATAAATAATGATTTTTTTATTATTTAATACAACTTAAATTATTAGAAAAACTTATCGATAGTTTTTTAAATCGTGAAATAACTCTATTAGAAAGAATTAAAATGTCAATGACATCCTTTTTCTTTTTATGAATTTGGAAAGAATATGTAACAAATATAAGTGAAAAGTATTCTGATTTTATTTTTGTGAGTAAGAATATTTTAGCAAATCAAAGTTTTGCAATTTTATTTATCTTGCAGAGTCAATAGTTTTATTAGTAAAAGCATATCGGGAATATTACCAAGATTATCCATTTTTATCATGAATGCATAGATCAAAGACTTGTAAATACTTTTTAGAATAACGCGTTAAATTAATTCAGATTTAATTATTTTGAGTTATTACAATTAATTCCAAAAATTTCTTAATACTCCAAAGCATTAAGAACAAAAAATATTACATTATAAAAAGAAAATTTGTACGTGAAGGTAAGCAGGCATAATTAATAATTATAAATATATTAAAGTAGCTAAAAAAGTTAATTCAAGGCTTAAAAGCAAGTTGAACTAGAAAATATACAAGTATTATATAACTATATTGTAAACGTGTAAAATGTATTGCTTAAATAAAATTCCTTTACTACTACCTTTTTTTTAATTTCTAAGTCAAACAACTTGTAAAATTTATCTAACTTTGATATTTTTTTAAATAAGCTATCATTTCAATTATAATATAGGAAATATTAATTCAAGCAAATTAATAGTATTATGTGATTGGCCATCAGATATTGATATTAATTTAACAATTAAGTACTTATACAAATTAGTATCGTATCTTGCTAAAACACTTAATATGAACTCTACTCTAAATATGAATCAGTTATTATTACAGCTATTTGTAATAATAGAGAAGAAAAGTTTGAAAGTATCAACTGGAATTAAATCAAATTCAGAACTTGAAAATAATTCAAATGAATTTTTGAAATTGATAGAAAAATCTCTGATGCAATTGGCTAAGCTTCTAAGTAGGCTACCAATATAATTGATGATATTTTTAATTTTCAAATACTGAGAACGAAAATATGATTGATATCAAAATTGTTAAACACAAATTATTTTAACATTAAATAATACTGTGATAAGAATCTTTCATAATGAGTAATTTACTTATGGTATGATTCTTTTATTGTATTTTCTAAAACTTTAAACAATATATTATTATTAAATATTACATAACTGATAATCTTGAAAAAAATTTTCTACTAGGTATTTTCTTCTAATGGGAGAACTGAATTATCCAATTATGATTGCATTACGAAAATATCATGAAGCATATAACTCAAGGTCAGTTGAAAGACAAAATCATACATATTGTCACTGGAAATAATTCTCCTTGTATCACACATATTTCACTAAGTTACTTTATTGCAGCAAGTAAATTCCTTATCATCAGACTTTACAACCTTAGTGAATCTCATGTCTTACAAATATCTGAAATACCTTGAAATTACTTCACTTGATTTTACGAACTTAAAGATTTAAAGACTTAGGAAAAATGTAGAGAATTTAGTTATTTTAAGTGGTAAACTTAATCGCAAGTTGTGTAGTAGTTTATGATCAAATCCTAGATGATGGACATATAGAAGGGAAAAGTAATTGTTTTTCAAAGTTGATTCCTTTATTTATTACT